ACCACAACACCCTTCCTTCACACCACATGTGTTTCTTCCCTATTCCTCAGTGTTTCCAAAACCCAATCTAAGAGTCAACAGATGGATTAATTATTGGTATCTTTAAAAATGCCTCCTTAATAGTCTGTTGGCCATTGAGGGAAATTGCTGGAAGCAAAAACAGATTATAGGAGGAGGCTTAAAGGGGAAGGGAAGTACACAGGAGCCCTCATGGCTTAGTAAAAACTAAATGGTTCTAGGTAACTTTTGCCTGGTTCTCATTTCAGGTTTTGAACCTGAAACTTACTGGGATCGCATGCATCTACTCCAGGAGGCAATTGCATACAGGTAGGTTCAGAGCAAGGTGAGTAAGAGTTAAATCCATCCTCAGATAGGGTGATGGTGAGAGTGTGGTTGTACACTTGGATACTGGAGCTTTCAGGCAGTACTGTCGAGGCTGAGACCCTGGCTATGTGCCATCTGCTTCCATTAAGCCCTCTGTGAAAGATACTTGGTTAATTAGAATGTCTTCTGATGTTTGTGTGTGGGAGGCAGCGTAGATGAAGTACATTTGGATGAAGTATGTTTGGCTTGAGATGTGGGAGGAATACTTCACCTGATCTGGATGTGACAAGTGATTGATAATGATAGTGTGACAGGGATATGAGACCTAGAGAGGAGGCTGGGAACAAGTTGAGAAGGAACTCCTGGAATTCTTCTGAACTGTCCTTTGTGTGAGAAGGATTTATCTGCCCTCTGTACGATCCTTGACTGCCAGTTTGTTTCACAATGCTGCTCCTGGGCTCTTTATTCATTGTGCAGAATCTGGATTTTGGATCTGTCTAACATGAGAACGTTTTCATCAGACTACAATGTGTAGAGCAGTGTTCTCAACCTTTTTAGAGTCAGGGCGCCCTTCCACAACTCTTTTTTCAATGTGGTGGCATCACCAGTTGAGATCCATTGTTGATGTTGCCTCAACTTACTTCAGTGCTTTTCAACCAGGTACTGCTGCCTCCAGGTAAAGCCGTCCTATGCACTGGGAAAGGCTGCAGCACATACATATCCTTCTGTATTGAGGTTCTAAAGCAGCAAGGCAGTGGCCTTATGCAGCAGCCCTTCCTAATATGAACCTTTACAGCATCTCCTGGAAATAAAGGCATGCAGGGCAGGTGGAACTGTCCTGTGCTTCTCTGTTTCTGGGAGGGTGCTGAATGGGGGTGTTGAGGATGGAAAGTTTGCAACACAGACCAACTCCCCTGTCTGCTTTAGGGTTATTAGAGAGCCCAAATGGGGAAGGAGTGCGTGCGTGTGGCAGTTTTACCTGGCTGTTGTGGCACCTCTCATGGAGGTCGTAGTACTTCAGGGTACTGTGGCGGTCTGGTTGAGAACTACTGCTGTAGAGGGATGAGCATTCCTAGAGCAGTCCTGGCAGGCTGGCTGGAAGGTCCCTGTGCAGTACTGTCCAGTCTGTACAAGCAATACTTAAGGCTTGAAACAGCCTTAGGAAATGCTCTGTTCTGTAGTCGTTCCTAATATGTATACAAGGGGTAGGCAACCCTTGGCGCACATGTCAGAGTGTGGCACACATGTCAGAGTGTGGCATGTGAAGGCATTTTGCTTGGCACTTGCACCTTGGGGAGGGGGCCAGGACTGCACTATCACAACAAGGATCGGGCCCCTTGTAGCTCCCCAGTTGTCTGCACCTAGCACGCCAACATCTTACAAGTTGAGGTTGCAGGTGTTTTTGGCACTCTGTCCAAAAACATTGTCAACCTCTGGTATATACAATGGGGGCCTTTTAACACAGACTACTGGGTAGCACCCTAAACTAGTCCATTGGTTCCCCTGTTCCATGCAGAGACTAACTTTGTGTTCCAAAACCTGCACCCAGCACTCAAGGTCAGACATGTTTTTTTTCACTTTCTGCCCACTTGCTTTCAGTGATGTGTAGTAGTGGTGTAAGTGAGCACTGGGAAGTTCCTTCTTTCAGTAGAGTAACTACGGGGGCATAGTTCTCTTTCTGCCTTCTTTTCCCTCGTATGCACTCTTCCCCTATGCTGTAAGTTCACTTCTTCTAATGCTTGTTTCCTCAGATTTGGATTTGTGCAGGATAAATACTCAGCCTCTGCATTCAACTTTCCAGCCGAGAACAAGCCCCAGTACATCCATGTCACGGGTGAGTAATACTTGGCAGGCAGTGGGGTCATGGAGATTATAGATAGGCAAGGGAACCATTTTACTCTCCTAGTTTGTGTTCTCTGTCAGTGGCACTGATCTTCATAATATTACCAATCAGCTAAAAAAAAGCTGTCTCAGCTAGGGCAAGGTGTCTGTAGCTTACAGAAGACAGTGGAGAGACAAATAATAACCTCAGATAAGCACAAAACTTCAGTAATTTTTGTCACTAGTGAAAAACAGGAGGTTGAACAGGAAACTTTAAGTAGTTCCCGAAACTTTTATATCCAGGAGACACTGAAAAATAAACCAAAGTTCTGAGCATACCTGGAGCAGGTAGTCTCATCTCAAAGATCACAACTTTAGGGAAAAATTATCTTCTTCCTCCTCCCTCCTCTCCCCTCCCTCCACCCACTGATGGGGACACCCTAACTGTAAAATTCAGGAGTCCACATGAACCCCCTACTGACCTTCACTAATTGTGATGATGTATTGGTGCTATTTAATTAAGCTTCATGCATTGTTTCTCAGCCTCTTGAAGACTCAGGACAAGCGTAGTGGCTTCTTAACCTGGCAGGGGATATACCATCTATGTGTCCATGAAGGCAGTTTTCCTGAACCGCACCACAGCAGAACTGCTCTTCTGGCATGGTTCAGTACCCACCGAGGTGTAGTGGCTTTAAGCCCAGTTTATGGAAATGGGAGTCTCCTCCCTAGCTTGCTTCGAGGTCCTTATGGCTAAGGGCCAGCAAAACTCGGGACATCTGAACTCCAAGCCTCCGGGCTTCAGCCTGCAAGTAGGATGCCTGCCAAAGGATTTGGAGACATCTGAAGCCCCAGGTGTGGGTGGAGGATGTTTGCTGGTAGTAGGGCCATTTATGGTTCTGGACTCAGATATGGATTTAGTTTTGGCTAATTTAGCCTTGGATACAAATTAAAAAAAAAAAGAAGTTATATCACAATGAAATGACAATGCTGTTGGGAAGTTTGCTGAGGCTTGGGCAGGGAGGCAGCAGGAAAACTGAGTTACTGATGGCCCTTAGTCGGGGTTGGAGATTGCTCTGAAGTTAGAAAGAATGAGATGGAAGCAACAACTTTTCTTCCCTCACTCTCAGTGCAAAGGGCTCTGCTCTCAAAATATGGAAGTTGTTTCCCCCAAGGGAATAAAGAGCCTCTAGAGAGACCTCAGCCTTGCAGGTGTCTGGGCAAAGCAAAGTTCTCCTTTACCTGGGCCAGGTCACAGATTTAAACCCCTGCCTGTTTCTCTCAGGGACTGTGTTTCTGCAGCTGCCTTACTCCAAGCGGAAATTCTCTGGGCAGCAGCGGCGGCGGCGCAACTCCACCAGCTCAGCCAATCAGAACATGTTCTGTGAGGAGCGTGTAGGATACAACTGGGCCTACAATACCATGCTGACCAAAACATGGAGGTCCAGCGCCACCGGGGATGAGAAGTTCGCCGATCGGTTGCTGAAGGACTTCACGGACTTCTGTTGGAACAAAGACAACCGGCTTGTCCAGTTCTGGACAGACTGTCTAGATAAGATGCATGCTAGTGCACCCTGAGACCAGAGTGCATCTGTAAGAGAAAAGTAACGGCTTGGTCAGGTGGTAAAGAGCTAGATGCAGAGAAGTCAGAAAAGGCTTCTATTAGGATGAATTAATGCTGAAACCCAGAGGGGCCTGACTAGTATTTACTGTTGATATTCAACAGAAGCTGATTGGGCTCTTGGGAGAGTAAGTTGGCATCTTGTCCCTTCAATATTCATCCGCTGGAGAGAGTCCCTCCTGCTTCAAGTAGGTGCAGCTCCTGCTTGACAAAACTTCAGCTAAGCGGAGCAGAGGCAAACACTATGAGAGCACCCGTCATTTGAAGCAAGTGTTACAGGGAAGGGTTGTAATCCACGTTTGCTCTGTGAAAATGATCAGGGACTGTAAGTCTGTGGTATTCCTGGCAAAACCCTACCCTTGTCCTCTTTGGTGTGGACATAGTTGTATGCATATGTAAAATAAAATGTACAGTGTGCTCATGCTCTGTGTTTATACATGTAAATATATTAAATGAAAATGCAGAAAGTCAAAGGTGAAATGTTCTGCCCAAAGCCCAGGGTGCACAGAAGCAGACATGAGGGAGCCTTGCCTGAAGGAACACGTCTCTTATGACCAGCCTTGCCTCTGCAGAGGTCATGGTTATGTCCGGTTTGCACTGAATTGGGCTCTGTGTCCTTCAAACTTCCAGGATTTGCTGTCCCAAACTCTGAAGCCCGAGAAAGGTACCTTGTTGCTCCAAAAGCAAGAAGCTAGTGATTGCCCCTCAGCTGCAGGCCACCATTCACATTCGTGGAGAAATCAGAACAGCCCAACTTAAAGTGCACTAGCTGAGCACGACGTGGGGTAGCATTTGATAGCCAGGGCTGGGGTTTAGGTGGCTGCTCCCCCGTGGGGCCCTGGTCCTGTCTGAGGAGGCAAGACAGGCTCCGCTGGGCTGAATCCATCTGCGCCTCCCGCAGCGAGGAGCTGAGCTCTGGTCTCCCTGGGGTGGGGGGAGGAACCCCTTTCACTGCCCGTCCCTGAACCCTCCCTGGCTGGAGGGGATCCCGCAGGCTCCAGCGAGCGCTCGGGCGGGCTGCAGGGGGCCCCGCTGGCGGGAGGAGCGGAGCCCGGAGCGGCGGATCCGTCCGGCCCTCGGCTCGCTGCAGGCGCCGGGCG